TATATATATATATATATATATATATATATATATATATAAAAGCACTGATTCAAAGCAAATAGTCTGCTGACAGTCAACTGAGTAATTGAAACTTCTCAAAAACATCAAATTGCACACTTTTTAGTTTCAGATAGTCATCACCCGCTTTAGCCTTTCGTCAGTTCCATGAACACAATTTTTCATTGTGTGCAAGATAGGATATTAAAATAACCAGAACTCATCGCTGCACCTGAGAAAGGATTTCTATTCAATCTCCATCTTTTACTATATATTCTATTTTTAGGGGTACATAAATTATTAGTCAAACAGAGATAAAAGATCGCCACTATATGAAAACAGCAGCACTTGTGTAATTGTTATTTTTAATTAAAATAATAATGACATGGGAAATCTAAGGATACAAAACCACGTGTTGATCCGTACCTCAGTTTTAGAGATGTCTGTTCAAGTGTGAGGGTACGACTTTTGAAACTCCCTATAGATACTCGCCTGCAGGTTCCAGAGTGTGCCCATCCGCAACGAGATAGGAGACTTTCAAAGTACGAAGGGGCTTCAAATCCGCAACGAGATAGGAGACTTTTCAAGTATAAAGGGGCTTCAAATCCGCAATGAGGTGAAAGCCTTCCAAAATATAGAGGGGCTTCAAATCCGCAAAGAGATAGAAGACATTTAAAGTACGAAGTGGCTGCAAATCCGCAATGAGATAGGAGACATTCAAAGTATGAACGGGCTTCAAATCCGCAATGAGATGAAAGCTTACAAAATATGAAAGGGCTTCAAATCCGCAATGAGGTGAAAGCCTTACAAAATATAAAAGGGGCTTCAAATCTGCAATGAGGTGAAAAACCTTCCAAAGTATGAAGGGGCTTCAAATCCACAATGAGATAGGAGACATTCAAAGTATGAACGGGCTTCAAATCCGCAATGAGATGAAAGCTTACAAAATATGAAAGGGCTTCAAATCCGCAATGAGGTGAAAGCCTTACAAAATATAAAGGGGCTTCAAATCTGCAATGAGGTGAAAACCTTCCAAAGTATGAAGGGGCTTCAAATCCACAATGAGATAGGAGACATTCAAAGTATGAACGGGCTTCAAATCCGCAATGAGATGAAAGCTTACAAAATATGAAAGGGCTTCAAATCCGCAATGAGGTGAAAGCCTTACAAAATATAAAGGGGCTTCAAATCCGCAATGAGGTGAAAGCCTTACAAAAGATGAAGGGGCTTCAAATCTGCAGTGAGGTGAAAGCCTTACAAAATATGAAGGGGCTTCAAATCCGCAATGAGGTGAAAGCCTTCCAAAGTATGAAGGGGTTTCAAATCCACAACGAGAAAGGAGACTTTCAAAGCATGAAGGGGCTTGAAATCCGCAATGAGATGAAAGCCTTCCAAAAAATGAAGATGCTTTAATACCCAACGAGGTGAAAGCCTTCCAAAGTGTGAAGGGGTTTCAAATCCATAATGAGATGAAAGCCTTCCAAAATATGAAGAGGCTTCAAATCCGCAATGAGGTGAAAGTGTTTCAAAGTTTGAAGGGGTTTTAAATGTAAACGTAAAAGTGTTGGGGGGGGGGGGGGGGGGAATGACAACCACCGTGTCATTGAGTTGTAACCTGTCAATATTATTGTTAAAAATATCAAGAGAGTTTAAAGCAAGTGACATCATGGTGCAGACGAACACGGCAACGTCATAATGACAATCTAAAGATGGCGGCCCCACTTTTGACATGCATCAAAGAGGAGCAGCCAGTGTTGCCACTTTTCTTTGACAAAAACATCCAAAGCGGAGTCAAAGAATATCTAAAAACATCTAAATTTGCGTGGAAAACATCCAGAAAAAAACATCCAAATGGAAAGAGTCACAAATTACATAGCAATTGATATGACTTACCCTATGCAATCATGTCGTCATCTTTACTGAAGTCTGCCTTACAAGATCCACATGACTTAGCTTGGATGTTGAAGTTGAAGCTTCAGATCCAAAAAAAGCTGTTCCAATTTCTTTTAATACCCAATCAGGGAGCTGATAAGTGGAACAGCCTTTTTCTACTTTTATCAGGCCGAATTTTATTGTCAAGAAAGCATTTAAGAGGTCAAATTTTATCCTGTTTCCTAGGTTAGATTTGATAAATTCACTCCAAATAAAAAACATCTACCATCTAAACGTAAAAAAAAACCAATCTAAATGCAAGGGAAAATATCTAAATCTGGATGTAAAACATCCAAAGTGGCAACACTGGGAGCAGCGTTTTGGTATCCATTTTTTGATTAGTGAAAGATATTGGTGAAAGCTGTAGAAATTCAGCGGTGGTCAGAATGTTAATGCACGCCTGTCAGCTCAGCACGTGTGTGAGTGGAGAAAGAAGTTTTTACAAATGGCGTTACTCGTGTAAAAAACTTGGCACGACCTGGTCAGGTACACCAAGTAGTCACCTTGTCGATTCAGCCTAAAACTGGTACCAAAAAATGACGTGGGAGGTAAAGTCGGCTGACGTTATGTTGATGACATCACAAATCCAGTGTTGAATAAGTAGACCTAAGACTTGAGGTTCAAAGCGCCAGAGGTGTTAACAGTTTATTTCACTTTTACACGAGACAGAAGGCTGCAAATAGACATGACTACCAACACTAAACGGCATGCGCCAGACCAGTCGTTCTCAAACTGGATGTTGCGAGCGTATGCCAGGGGTGCCGCGAGTGTATGCCAGGGGTGCCGCGAGTGTATGCCAGGGGTGCCGCGAGTGTATGCCAGGGGTGCCGCGAGTGTATGCCAGGGGTGCCGCGAGTGTATGCCAGTGGTGCCGCGAGTGTATGCCAGGGGTGCCGCGAGAGTATGCCAGGGGTGCTGCGAGTGTATGCCAAGGGTGCCGCCAGTGTATGACAGAGGTGCCGCGAGTGTATGCCAGAGGTGTCGCGAGTGTATGCCAGAGGTGCCGCAAGTGTATGCCAGTGCCGCGAGTGTAAGCCAAGGGTGCCGCGAGTGAATGCCAAGGGTGCCGCGAGTGTATGCCAGAGGTGCCGCGAGTGTATGCCAGAGGTGCCGCAAGTGTATGCCAAGGGTGCCGCGAGTGTATGCCAGAGGGTGCCGCGAGTGTATGCCAGAGGTGACGCAAGTGTAAGCCAGTGCCGCGAGTGTATGTCAAGGGTGCCGCGAGTGAATGCCAAAGGCGCCGCGAGTGTACGCCAGAGATACTGCGGCAATTATCAAGAATTTTGAAAAATCTGCTTGAGATCAGCGAAGACAGTAGTATGAAACAGAAATACCACTAAGGGAGCCAAGAAGAGTTCTGAATGCAGGTGTATTCAGAAAACGATGCTATTGGCAGGGCTGCAGTGCAATCTCAATGTACACTTACATTTAAACAAATACAGGAGCAGCCTTCAAGTGATTTGATGGTACCATTAACTAAACTTCCCATGACCATAAAGGAAACAATGAAAAATAAATCCAAACAGTTTCATTCATCGCATTAAAGACAACTGAACATTAAATTTGCATTTTGTTTCTTCTTTTCTTAAGTATTAGAATCGCTTTAAGGGTAGGTGTGCAGCGAAAACCTTTTTTTACCCGACAAGGGGGCTGGGGCGAAAAAAAGTTTAAGAAACGCTGCGCTTGACGAAAAAGATATTATGTGTAAAGGATACTGCGGGGAACGTGCCGCTTTGGAGATCAACTGCAGTCAAACATTCATTGAGAAGACGACAACAAATTAACTAACACATTTGCGAAAGTATGAAAGTCTTGTAAACGGCAACAATTATTTAGCACAGCTGATTAAAAAGTAACTCCACTGGTGTGCAATAATCGCTTTGTGGAAATATATTGGTGGTGATATAGTTAAGTCGATACTCAAGAAATATATAACATCAAACAATCAAAGCAACACATATAATGCAGGGCATCTTTAATGTAAAAGTAGTCTGTTGTATGGAGCTGAAACATGGAGAACAAATAAAACTGTGACTAATAAACTACAAACATTCATTAGGTGATGCCTACGCAGAATATAGTGAATTATATGGTACGATAGATTCAACAGTAAGGAGCTTTGGCAAAGAACAGAGCAGATTTGGGTTAGTCAAGAGGCACAGGAAAGCGCTGGCGATGGTAGGTCACATTCTGAAATCCTGTGAAAAATATATAATGAATGTCTTTGCACTGGAACCCACAGGGAGCGTAGAAATAAGTTAAGTAAAAAAAAAAAAGTAAAGATCCCTTATTACGCCTAAGGTTATATGGGCAGAGTGTCCCATATTTTTACAGACCAATCGGTAATGGATGGGTAATGTGGTCAGCATTACGCCGGCGGTCTTTACTTCCCCAGGACAGTCATCTTCGTACCCATTTTAGGCTGGGTCGACCTACGATAAAAATCCACGCAGCCAGCAGTGGGTTTCGATCGCGGTACGTTGAATTACGAGTCGGACTCGCAACGCCTAAGCCAAGTACGCCGCTGCAGAAATAAGGGCAAACTAAAATAGACATTGAAAAGGAGGCTCAAGAATTCGTTGCGAAGATGAGAAAGATACAGAGGGTGATGCATGGTATAACAACGGATTAGACAAATCTTTGAAAGCTGGGTGTTCCAATGAAGAATAAAGTTTGGAAGAAAAGTGAAGGGGTGGGGGGGGGGGGCGATTACATGGCGTTATCTGAGAAAAAGTGAACGCAGAATTATCAAACGAGTGCTGGAATGGGAAACCCATTGATTGTGGAAACCACAGAGTTAAAAAATAAAGTCATTGCAAAGGAAAACAGACCACAGAGAAAAAAAAATGAAAACTATGTGAGTATAAGCACCATAACAGTATGATGATGATGATGATGACGATGATGATGATGACGATGACGATAATGACATTAATGATGATGACGACTACAATAATGTTGATGGTAGTAATGACGATGAGATAATAATGGCGATGATGACGCTAGTGGTGGTGATAAAACATGTGTACTGACATAGTGGTTTTTTATGTAATGTTACAGCTGTGAATAAGATGTTTGCAATTGAGGAACCTGCACTCGGCCTGTCCTCGACCAGCTTACGTATTTCCGAGTACACTGTCACACAACAAACAATGGGTATACACTGGAACTTGACAGAAATACAAGAAAGCTCTACGACCATTTTCAGTATTTCTAGAGTGACAAACAGTTTTACGAACGTGACGAACTGTTTCACGAATGTGACCACAAGTGCCACGAACGTGACAGAAATGTCTTGGAAAAACCTTCCATTGGCTACAAACGTGATTTTGATTACCTTATACACCTTTACCACCCTCGCTGCAGTTGTGGGTAACTCCCTTGCCATCATCGTCTTCACAAAAGGTAAACGTTCGAATACAGATCTTCGGTATTTCTTACTAAACCTAGCGATTGCGGATCTCATAATGGCGATATTTTGCATTCCATTCACTTTGGCATACCAAATCGCCGACACCTGGCTCTTCTCAAGCTTCATGTGTCCAGTTGTCCAGGGATGCCAAGTGGTCAGTGTCACGGCATCGGTCAGTACAAACACGGCTATTGGCATTGACCGCCTTCTGGCCGTAAAATTTCCTCTCCGAAGAAAGGCGACTGATTCGCGATCAAGACTCTTCATTGCCTCCATCTGGATTTTTGCAGTGTCACTTGGCGCTATTCCATTCTTCATGAGCCGGACAATTCTCAAGAGAGATGGCAGAATGGCTTGCGAGGAGCACTTTCTGGATGAGGATGTTCGAGTCATGTACGGATTTTTCATCACTATTATCACCTACTTTTTACCTGTGACAGTACTGTCTGCGACCTACATTATGATAGGGAAGATACTGTGGAGGCATAAGCTTCCAGGCAACGCGGATGATCACAGAGATGCGGTTCAGTTGAAATCGAAACGCAAGGTAAGAAAACTGACCGTCAGTTAACTTATACTGTATCAATTAATACATGATGTATATTTTGCAGTTTCAAAGCGGCAAGTTGGAATCTACAGTTGGTTAATGACAGTCTTCTAGGAATTGATCTCTGTCTTGGTCTTTCTCTCGCCTTCCTCCAAGATGTTCTGCTGTAAAGAGCCTCACATGCAGTCTGTATGGCTGCATTCTTACTAGATATGCAAACAGTTCATTCTTTGTCTGAGAGTAATTCACAGTCTTTTTCCAAATTTCTCTGTTACTGGTACTCGTAACCTAGTCTCTTCTTGTGCTGTTGGTGACATTACGAAGACATCGCACTTCACAAGTAGTTATTTTCTGTTCTAGTTCCACATTCATTGTCCATGTTTGGCATTGATAATATAAAGTAGGGATAAAGATGATGTTAATCATTTGCTAATTTGCTGGAAGGAAAACATTTGGGTGTCTAATCAGTGGGGCTGACTGATAGGTGACAACGTGTGCCTTCTGTACTCTGGCTTCTATTTCTTTGTCGAGTCTGCCATTATCTGTAAATATGCTTCCTAGATATCTGAATGCTCGTACTTGTTTGTTTGTAGTACCATTAACATAAACGTTAATGTCATTATGTTTCCTGCCACTTTTCATGACATCAATCTTCGTGGTGTGTGTGTGTTTTTTGTCTGTTCAATCACACTTTGTGCAAGTTTGATGTAAGAAATCAATATAGTGTTGTAATTGTAATTTCTGTTGTTAGTAGCGTATAAGACACTGATCGCCTGCGAAACGCGGCTGATCAATTTCTTTAGTGTCTGTATTTGTTTCTTGTGTAATTATATCCATGTAAGTAATGAATGACATTGGTGGGAGGACACATCCTTGTCTGACAACTGATGAGATGGGGAACCAGTCTGTCATTCCTTCTGCTTGCTATTCTTACTGTGCATTGACTATCGTGATAAACAGCCGTGATGTTATCCAATAGTTTGTCTCTAGTCGTTACTACTATTTAAAATGTGCAAAATCTCTTTACTCTTTCTGTCAGTCTCTTCTATTATATCTAAATATTTAATTATAATCAGCATCATCAACCTCATCATCATCACCCTCATCATGATCATCCTCATCATCATCCTCACCCTCATCACCCTTTACTTCTTCTCCCTTCTCCTTCCGTCTTGTCTTCTTTCGTCTGCTTGCTCCTTCTCCTTCCGTCAGATTCTTCCTTCTCTTTCTGTCAGCTGCTTCCTCCTACTTCCTTCTCTTTCCGTCAGCTTCTTCCTTTTTTTTCCGTCAGCGTCTTCATTCTTCTTCCTTCTCTTTCCGTCAGCTTCTTCATTCTTTTTCCGTCAGCTTTTTTCTTCTTCTTTCTTCCTGTCCTTCTTATTCCTTCTTTTTCCTTCTTCTTCCCTTTTCTTTATTAGTTCTTCTTAACTAATTCTTTCCAGTTAATTCTTCCTAATTAATCCTGCCTAATTAATTCTGCTGAATTCTGTCTTATTTATTCTACTTAATTATTTTAGCCAATTTAATTCTTCTTATATAGTTCTTTTTAATTAATTCTTCCTACTTATTTTTCCTTCTTCTTCCTTCTTCTTCCTTATTTTTCCGTCTTCTTCCTTATCTTCTTTTTAATTCTTCTTCATTCTTCTTCCTTTTTCTTCCTTTTTCTTCCTCATCTTCCTTTATTTTCTTCCTTCTTCTTCTTCCTTCTGCATTCTCCTTCTTCTGCTTCCTTCTTCTCCTTTTCTTTTTTCCTTCTTCCTCTGCTTTCTTCTTCGCATCTTATTTTTTTCCTTTTCCTTCTACTTCTTCCTTTTGCATCCCTCTTCTTCTGCTCCCTTCTTCTCTTTCTCTTTCTTTTTTGCCTTCTTCTTCTGCTTCCTTCTCCTCCTTCTCTTCTTCTTTTTTTACTTTTTTTTCTCCTTCCTTCCATTCTTCAATTTGTTGTCCTTCTTTCCTTTCTTACATGTTTTTCTCATTCCTCCCTTCTCTTTCCTGTTTCCTTCCTTCCTTCTTCTCCTTCCTTCCTTTATCAGTTTTTCTCCTTTCTTTCATCCTCCCTCTCCTTCCTTTTTTCCTCCATCTTCTTCCTTTCTTCATTTCTCCATCTGCTTCCTTTCTTTCTTTCTTTCTCTAACTTCTTCCTTTCTTTCTTTCTTACTTTCTTTCTTTCTCTAACTTCTTCCTTTCTTTCTTCCTTTATCTTCTTATTCTTCCTTTATCTTTATATTCTTCCATCTTTTTTCTTCTTTTTCTTCTTCCTAAATCTTCTTCTTCTTCTTCGTCTTCTTCCACTTCTTCTACTACTTCTGGTGCTGCTGCTGCTTTCGCCTTGATCCGTGATGATGTCGATTGCAGCCAGGCAACATACTATATTTAATTGAGTTCTATGCGAGTAAAAATATGTTGCACTGTGGAACAACAGCTTCAGGACAGTCACTGTTGGATTAACAACTTCAGGACGGACAGTATTGAATTAACAGTTTCAGGACGGGCAGTGTTGAATTACAATTTCAGGACATACAGTGTTGAATTAACAATTTCAGGACAGTCAGTGTTGAATTAACAGCTCCAGGACAGACAGTGTTGAAATAATAACTCCAAGACAGACAGCGTTGAAAAAACAACTTCAGTACAGACAGTGTTTAAATAACATCTTCAGGACAAAAAGTGTTGAAATTGCATATGTAATACAGACAGTGTTGACAGACGGTGATGAAATAACAAATTCAATACAGCGTTTAAATAAATTCAGGAAAGATAGTGATGAAATAAAAAATTCAATAACGACAATGTTGAAATAACAACTTCAGGACAGACAGTGACAGAAAGCAACTTCAGGACAGACAGTGTCGAAATAAAAACTTCAGAACGGACAGTGTTGAAATAACAACTTCATTGTGGACAGTGTTAAAATAGCAACTTCTGGACAGACAGTGTTGAAATATCAACTTCAGGACAGACGGTGTTGAAACAATTGCTTCAGGACAGACAGTGTTTGAAAAAAAAAATTTAGGACAGACAGTATTGAAATAACATCTTCAGGACAGACATTGTTAAAATAACAACTTCAAAACAGTGTTGAAATAATACTTGAGGAGACAATGTTGAAATTAGAACCTCAGGACAGATGGTTTTTGAAGTAACAACTTCAGAACAGACAGCATTCAAAAAACAACTTCAGGGCAGACAGTGTTGAAATAACTTCAGGGCAGACAGTGTTGAAATAACAACTTCAGGGCAGACAGTGTTGAAATAACAACTTCAGGGCAGACAGTGTTGAAATAACAACTTCAGGGCAGACAGTGTTGAAATAACAACTTCAGGGCAGACAGTGTTGAAATAACTTCAGGACAGACAGTGTTGAAATAACAACTTCAGGGCAGACAGTGTTGAAATAACAACTTTAGGGCAGACATTGTTGAAATAACAACTTCAGGGCAGACAGTGTTGAAATAACAACTTCAGGACAGACAGTGTGGACATAACGACTTCAGGACAGACAGTGGTGAAATAAAAACTTTAGGGCATACATTGCTAAAGTTACAACCACCTATAACTGAAACGCCTGTCACGCAAAGACAACAATAAATGATGAAGAAAGTGAAAAAGTAACACATTCTAAATAGTTAGGTTTCATTATAAAAAAAAAAAAAAACAGCAATAGACGCTGCAGAAAAAGGAAAGGTCAAAGGAAGGATAGTCGTAGCAATAGAAAGATTAAACAGCACTAAAAGTATATTCTTTAGCACCAGCATCTTGGATCTAAAACCGATCCGTAGAAAATTGCCCAAAGTGGCTAGGATCCCGACTCTAATCATATAGACGTTTTCTTTTCAAATATTTGTTAGGACAGTTTTGTTTTTGTTTGCACATATTTCATACATTTCAAGAAAGCGGCACATAGAGGATTTAGGTATTAAAGTGGGCTCGTGGGGGAGGGGGAGGGGGGTGGATGAGAGCTGAGCGTCTGAGAAGAAACAGGCTAAATAAAAATCATGACAACATCGGTCCTAAAATCCCATGATATAATTGAGGAGGACTTTTTTTTTAACGCGAGCGGGTCTTGATAGTCACACTCGCTATCGCCATGGGCTGTAAGTCCCATGCCTCCTCATAGCGGAATATGACAACATCGTCTGGAAAGACGGAAAGGTGTTAATCTAATAATTTCAAGTATATAATTGTAAGCAACTGCATTTTAGTATATAATAGTAATAATAATAAGTTTAATTGATTAATAATAAATAGTAACAAATAGTGAAGTAAACGACCCTTTCCAACCTCTTTAGGCATATTGGGCAGATATGACTAGACCTATATGATGCAGATCAATCAGCACTCTGTGGGTGATGTGGTCGAGATCCCGCCGACCGCATTTACTTACCAGGACTTCACCTAGGACCAATTTAAAGGTGGGTTTGAACCTACCACCTTGTGATCTAAAGGCGAGCGTTAGCCGTTGTACTATGACGGCTCCCCCCCCCCCCCCCCCCAAAAAAAAAAGTAATAATACTAATACAAATTGAGCTATCAGGAAGTGCTAAAGTACCTTCAGCACTGTCCTGATCAAAGTATGAAGTCGCAGAACACCACTTCCCCCATAATTGTTTTGTAGTCGCGCACAGGCGTGGATTTATATTCTATAGACCAATGGGCACTAGATGGCTGGTGTGGTCAAGATGACGCCGGTCGCTTTTACTTCTTGAATTGCATTCGGTGTTCCAGAATGTTTACAACAGGAAATCGTGACGAATCCAATGTCCTAAATCAGTATCAATCATCAGTCCTTCATAGAACGTCGCTCTCGTCACGAAAAGCCTGAAGGTCTCTCCTTCTTTAACCAATTTTCCAACTCTAACTGCTTTCATAGCCAGTGTATCTTCAATGTGGAGATCAGCCCCTGCCTCGTTATCCGGAAACCGTTCTCTCCGAGCCACTATGACGTACAACATGGTCAAATTAGCACAGCTTTCCGGACAGGATGCTGTTTATGAGACAATTCTCTTCGATGCTCAGATCAAAAGGGTTTTCGCCGTTTTTCATTTTCCCCCTTTAGTGCAGGGTATTCGAAGAATGTTTCTGAAGCATCTAATTTAAAAAAAAAAAAAAAAACGAGTACCTTTTCCTTCCACGACTCACACATTGAAGCTGTCACGAGAAAGATGCATAATCTCAAAATTTTTACTCAAACTCAGTGTGTCCAAAAAGTAGAGGAAGTGTTTTTTTATATTTGCTGTTTAATCTGTCCGTGTTGTCAGTGGTATCAAGGAGCGAACACTTATCATTTTCAACATCTGCGAGATATTAAAATATTCTACATTTGCCCTCAAATATATTTTAGAAATAGCGTTTATTTTCAATAGAATTATTACAACTACTACGGTTTACTGTGGATTAAAATGTGTATTCTAGAGCTTGTATGAAATATTCGGATGCTATAATTTTTACTATTAATTGACGAATGAATGTTATGGTGTATTAAAGGGACGAGACTAGAAGGGCAGAATGTTAGACGGGCCTGCGTGCCCAATTCTTTACCATTTAAAAAAAAGGTTTGTTCGTTCGTTCGTTCTTTGTAAAATGTTAATTTATTTTAATAAAGATACACAGTGGAAGGGCAGAGATTGGACCCTCAATACATAATGTGTCCAAAGACAACAGTCCCATCCCATCCTGATGAGATTGTGCCTTGTAAAAGCAAAGACCAATTTCCACGCCTTCAGCGGTAGTGGGCATATAGGGCTAGACTTAAATTTAAAGACCAATCGTGTCTCGGTGGATGATATATATATGGTCCACAGCTGGAGCAGTTAGGGAGTTTCGTGCGGACGGCGTCATAGGCGGACAGTTTCTTATCAGCTGGTACGTATGACTTCTTGTTCTCACTTGTGCCTTGTATCTAGGTGAAATACAGCAGGGGTGCAAAGTTGAACTGCATGGAACCTTTGTTATAGGGGCAACGTATATTTTTTTTTTAACCTGTTTTGTTTTATTTGTAATGTTTTAATGAAACTGAATTTCTGACAAACAGGGCCGGTTTAACGCATGGGCTCTTTTGACCATACACTCGACCCATGAAAAAAAAAAAAAAACTTTTATACACATTTTGTGGCTATCCTCAGAAAAAACGATCCCAAATTATCGAGGCTAAGAAAATACCTTAACTGGGCATCAGTCACCGGACCTCTTTCCGGCGACTATACCGCCACCGCCGAGAGTATCCCCCGCGCCGCCCTTCGCGGATGGGGCTAAATTATATGGCTGGGATTCACGGGCAAATAAAATGGAAGAAGCTGCAGGAGATGCAGTAGCTGCTGCTCGTATGTCCCAGCCATCTAGTTTAGCCCCCTCCGGGAAAAACTCCCGGTGGTAACTTTAACTCGGCGTAAGCTTTTTCCGCGGCATGCGGTATCATTATCATCATTTTTAACCACTTCTGCCGTTAAGCGACGTGGGGAGGAATAATTTGCGATCCAGTGCACGTTGGCTGCCACTGGCTATTGTCATGCCGTGAAGGCGTAAAGTGTCTTTAATGTTGTCGATCCATGTTTTCCGTGGCCGTCTCTTGCTCCTGTAGTTGATCTTCTGAGATGTAGCGCTTGTGATGGTATTTGATCTTGCTGCATTCTAACGAGATGGCCAAACCACTTGATCTGCTGTTTCTCCATGAATCTAGCACAAGGTGTCGTTCCCACAATTTGCCTGATAGTTTCATTATTCACTCGATCTCGTATGGTTAGGTTGGCTGCTTTTCTCAGGCACCTCATCTCGCAGGTGGTAACTTTGCGTATTTGGAGGATAGCCCGTTTTGTTAGAACAGCTGAGCTATACACATTTGTCAATACATAACAGGAGCCACCATCACGTAGCGGCTAGACGATCATCTACGAATCAAAAGCAGTTGGTTCAAATACGAAAGCATCCTTACTTGTCTGCACCTTCACCCAACCTTAAATGAGTACCGGCTAAAGTAACTGGAAGTAAAAGCGGTCGGGTGGGGCTGACCACATCATCTACCAGCTTCTCATCTGTTTATACAATATAAATTTAGCCCTATATGCCCAGTTCGCATAAACCCATTCGCGGAAAGCGTAACGTTAGTCTCCCCAGGCCCCGCTCATATACACACTAGCTCACTTCTGATTAGTAGTTCATGAGCCTTGTGACCTTCACACAAGGTCAGAGGGGTGTTCCGCGATGCCGTTGATATCGCGTAATGTATATTTCAGCACGCCAGAGCTTTTAAGTCTCAAAAAACATGGAGAAACTTACCCTAACACAACTCCCTTAGAGAGTGCAGCAACCTATGTCACAGGCATTCACTTTCTAGGAATAAAAACGTAAATGCAAGACAAAACAGAAAGCAAACTACAGAGCGGGAGACATCCGTAACCTTCAGGAAAGACGACCAGCCCAACAAACTTGTAAATGAGAAAAGGACCTACTCTATTTGGAAGGACTAACGTGAACCTAATTCCAATAGGCATAGCTAACCCCTGTCCGGGCGACCCCTCAGAAAACCCTTTATGGATCCATTTTTGATGGAG